ATTGAGAGCCTTGTGGTAGATGGCACAGATTAGTGGGAACTAGTTCAGGCCCCTGAGACCTGAGCTAATCTTTTCTGAGAACAGTGCTTCCATGACCTCACTCTCTTCCACTAGGCTCTGCCTCTTAAAGGTCCCACTACCTTAAAACGCATGAACTCCTGGGGGACAAATCACATGTAACCCACAGCAAAAAAAACAAGGAGCACAGCTTATAGCTGTAGCCTGCGGGCTCAATTATCTACTCCCGGAGGAGTATGCAAAGACACCTGCTACCCATGTAGGCATGGCCCCTTTCCTTTGAAGCACAGCAGTGGGCGTGGCTATTGTGGATGCCACAAAAGATCCCAGGGAAGCCACCAACTGGGAGCCGCGGGCTACTTCCAAACAGAACTGTGACAAAGGGCCATGCCTGCATTTTGGCCTCAGGGTCTGGGTAGCAAGCCCTCCAGAGCAAAGATGTCTTGGGGGAACAAATTCCCAAACACAGCTTCCCATGGAAAAGAAGGGAAAGGTTGGAGTCTCCGCTCCCTTGGCTGCTGTCCCTTCCCAGACCGTGCCCCGTCTGATTTTCCTGCTCCGTTACCTCCTTTGACCTTCTCCCAGAGACTCTGGCAGCTCTGCTTTGTGGCTCTTAAGTGCAACCTCCCGTGACCTCGGTGTCACTTGAGATGTCACCATGGAGACTGCAGACCTCCCTGGAGCTGACCTTTCCATTTCATTCTCTGGTTTCCAGGCCATGGGGACCACCCCCAACACACATCCTCCTTCAGCCATTGGGTGTGTTCTCTAGGGTTATTCTGTTCTGTGGATGGGTATTTTGGGGTGAGGCTGCCTTGCATAGCGCTGAAATAGTGACAATGACGTCCTGACTCATTATCACTGTCGGCTCCAGCTGACTTTGAGTTTAATTCAGTGCAACTGAGGCAGGGACAGCCAGTGGAAGCAGGCAAACGGCAAGTCTGCTTCTTTCCTATGTGCCTGCCAGCAAGACCCCGGGCCTGGTTGTTGCTGTCATTTGCATACATGAGTGGCTTTTGGTCTATCTGCAAAATAACCATGGGAGGATGTTTCTCTGGACTCAACCTCAGTTGTTCAGGATGGTCCTGGGCCCCGAGTAACGTCTGTTATCTCACTGGAAGGAGAAGAAACGTCGTGGGTTCGGAGTCATGTTGATCAGTTTGAGATTTTTCAGATCAAAGGCTGTCAGGTCTCTTAAACTTCAGGAGTGCCCACGCCAGGTGGCCAGCCCTGAGAAGCAGCTGCGACAAACCCTGGTACTCCCCTTCCTCCAGTGTTGACTTCTCTCCCCAGCTGGGATCTCACTGTCCCTTCCAGTAGGAATAAGGCCACCTGTCAGAGGCCCACAGTTGTGGATTGTGTGAGCATACTCCCTGTGGCTGTCAGGAAAATTTATGTGGCTAATGCACACCCAATTTCCAGGGCTGGCCTGCTTCTGTGTGGCCTGGCCCAACTCTGCATTTCACATGCTGGTCTAAGCTTAAGTTAAGGGTGAAACGTTCACTCGGAAGTCCTCCTGCCAGACTGATTCTGGAGGTGGTAACAGGTGTCACGTCACTGGTGTGTATTTCTCTATCATTTGCACTTACAGATGTTGCATCCTACTCACCTGCAGGGTGGGATCCAGGCATGGATGCTCAGCTACTTTCCATGCATCCAATGCCTCATCATAATATGCATGGTTCATGGTCCCAGAGATGGCCTTCAGCAAACACTGTTTCTTAAGTCTTTTCTTTTTACCTTTGCAGCATTCTGCAGCCTTCAGAAGTCAGGCAAAGCATGAGCTGGATTCCTTCTTCCACCCACAGACTCCCATTCTGCACAGCTTTGTGGGAGCATTCTACCCTTGAGGAAAGCTCCTGTCTAGGAGATGAAAACTTGTCCCGTCAGCTCTTTGCAAAGCATCAATGTGCAAAGTCTCTGTTCATGATTGGATACCTTGAACTTCTAGACATGGGGCTCCGGCAGACTTGTGTCCTCCTGGAGTCCTGTGTGTTTCTAATGAGTGTGTGTCAGTTACTGGGGCCAGAACCAGGCCCATCCATGCTGAGTTGGAGGTAGACTGGGAGGTAGATACGGACCAACCTCCACTTTGCAGGTTGATATAACAGTGTAATGATGGTTCTTCTAAAACAGGGATGCGAGGAGGTACGACTGTCTTGAAGTGAAGTCCACCCTTGGGAATTCAGTGGCTGGAAGCTGTGTCCAGAGCAAGTATGTATTCTTCCAGAACCCAGAATAAACACGAGGCAGACAGAGTCAGTCGATATGAACCCAGGCTACCCAGGTAAATCAGAATTTCAGCTAGCCAGGAGAGACTTCCAGTCAAAGTGTGACTCAGGTTTTCCTCAAGCTCAGTTTAAATTTAACCAGGCCCTCCCGACTGACTTCACCAGCAGCTCTGGAAGAGGGCCGTGCAGGTTCCAGCCACTGACCTTGCCAAGAGGTCAGATGCAAACACCCAAGTTCAGAGGAAGGGAAGCAGGGCGCGAAGCCAGACTCGGAATGGAATCAGATGAAAGTGGGTGTGGGTCTGGCACGGAGAGACAGGACCAGGACAAGCTGTCTGGAACAACAGGGACTCAGTCAGCCTCGAGGGCTACAGAGTCAGGCTTCCCGCTCAGACCTGATGTGTCCTGATGAATACGGACAGAAGTGGAACTCCTGGGGTCACTGAGGAGATATGGACAAAGGCTGGAGAAGAGAAATGCAGAAGCTGGGCAGTCCTTCCTCCCGGGTGTGAGGGCTGTGGTTCTGTCTGTACTGCCCTCTGGCTTTGGGGAACACAGAGCCTCGCCCTGCAGTCTGCCCTCACCCCTCCAGTCCTTCCTCCCATCCATCACTATAGCACACAAATGCTTCCAACAGGAAAACGATTGCATAGTGCCATTTGTGGTCTGAACTCAGTCCCTATTTCCTCTGATCTCCAAGGGTAAAGAAATTAGATCAAAATGCAGGAAAGCATAGGCTGGGAGTCTCTGCTGTTTCCTGATGTTCTGCACTGTTGCTCCCTTGTGCTCCACATTGCTATTTCTTGGTGCTCCACACTGCTGCTCTCTGGTGCTCCACACTGCTGCTCCCTGGTGCTCCACACTGCTGCTCTCTGGTGCTCCACACTGCTGCTCTCTGGTGCTCCACACTGCTGCTCTCGGGTGCTCCACACTGCTGCTCTCTGGTGCTCTGCACTGCTGCTCTCTGGTGCTCTGCACTGCTGCTCCCTGGTGCTCCACACTGTTGCTCTCGGGTGCTCCACACTGCTGCTCTCTGGTGCTCCACACTGCTGCTCTCTGGTGCTCTGCACTGCTGCTTCCTGGTGCTCCACACTGCTGCTCTCTGGTGCTCCACACCAGCATTGGCTTTATTCTGGTGTCTCTGCTGGCCCTGGCCATTCACTGCTCATGTTCCAGAAGTGCCCTGACTTGGCCAAGCAGCTCCAACATGTCCTGTTTAAAGGTGTGGTTCCCAGTCTGACATTGTTGTGAAGTGATGGAAACTTTAAAGCATGCTCTATGGAGAAGCTATATCACTGGGGAAGAGCCCTTACAGAGGTATTGGGGTCCCCACCCCTCCTCTACCAAGCTGCTTACTCTACCAAGCACTCCCACTTGGATGTGCGACCTGGCTACAAGTCCAAAAGTCACAGGCCTAGTGACAGCCTCTGAAACTACAAACCGAGACAAACTTCTTTCCAGTTGACTGTCTCCGGCATTTGGTCACAGATGCTGCCGGACACAGCCAGAGCCTTTTCATACAGATGCCTACGGGCACTCTTAATGGGGACGGCAGGCCTTAAGGAGAGAGTCGCGGCCATTTCTCAGCTCCCCGGCAGCTGTCCTGTATTCTGGGTGAGTCTGAGTGTGAGACATACAGAAACACTGCACAGGTGTGCATGAGTGTGCAGGAGGAACTTGGACGTTCTTTTCTCACAGTGACTCCCTCTGTTTATCATTGGTTACAGGTGAGGAAAGTGAAAATGGAGGCCCAAAAGGCTCACTCACCGGTCAGAGGAAGCCAGTGAGCTGAGGCTAGTTGGCCACCTCGTTGATCCTATAATTATAACAAAGTAACCTCCTTAAAGGTCAAGTGGAGCACTGGATCAGGCCCTTCACGCCCGTCCCATCCACATGCCCTTCACCCCTAGTGTAGACTGTTTAAGTGGGGGCTGGGGTAGTTAATATTGACTGTTCACCTAGACTCTCCTTATAGACACTATCTCCAGGCATGTCTGTGAGGCAGTTTGTAGAGTTGGTTAATTTAAAAGGGAAAATAATTCCTAACTTTGGATGGCACCATCCCTTGGCTTGGGGAGTGTGGGGGTTGGCTGAATTAAAAGAAGAAAACCATTTGGGTACCAGCATTCATCTCCCTCTGCTTCCTGGCTGCAGGAGCAATGGTATCAGCTGTCTCACGCTCCTACCTCCATGCCTTCCCCACCATGATGGACAGAACCCTGAACTGGGATACAAAATAACCCTTCCTCTCAGGTGTTTCTGTCAGGCATTCTGACAGAGCAGTGAGAAAATTAACTCACACTGCAGACAAGGTAGAATCAGATGGTTGAAGGCTCTTTTGTGCTGAATGCAGGCAGATGTCTCCATGGACATGCGGACCATGTCTAAGGCCCCACCTAGTTCCTAGGATCTCAGTGGGAGCCACGAGGGGTCCTGAGCTGCAAGGGAGGCCCAGGCTGCCATGGCTTCTTTGTCACAGCATTATTAACCAGCTCTCTTGGATTTGCTGAGAACGTTAACCGGGGCATTTTGCCTATATTTGAAATTCTAGGGACCAAACGTCATGCCCTTAAATAGATGAGATAGCTGAGCATACTGAGTCCATGGAAGAAATGCCAGGCTCCGGCCCAGAAGAAAATTCCTAAAATGAAAAACTTCACGCCAATCTTCGTGCTGTGGGATCCTGGGATGCACGTCCCTACCAGTCCACCAGGTGGGAAAATGCCGATCGTATTTTACATTGGAACAATGGTATTTTTAGTATTTATTAAATTTAGATTTCCTAATCTCTCTGTTGCTAAACATCTACACACAAACAAGATGAGCTTTTGCTAGCCCAAAATAAACAGAGCAAATACTTTCCCAGATCCCCAGTCATGAGAGAGTGGACAGCTGCCACCAGGGTCCTGGCTGTCTTCTCACATGGGGCAGAGCTGGGGTCAGGGTGCCCACTGTGAACCAGACACATCTAGACTGCCAGTACAATGATGTCACTGCTAGATAGACATCAGCCCTCCCTTGGAAGATCAGGGGAGCTCTCATAAGTCCATTCTGGGGTGGAGTTAACTCTGCCAAGGTGACTGCCTGGAGTCCATGTGGGAGTCTTGATGTCCTCTCCACTAACAGGTCAGGTGGAGTTAGCCCTGCCAAGGTGACTGCCTGGAGTCCATGTGGGAGTCTTGATGTCCTCTCCTCCAGCAGGTCAGTTCATTCATGACTCCTGGTGAGTGTCACTTCCTTCCATGTGCAAACTCCAAGCCCGGCTCTGTATGGCCAGGCAGACCTCACTAACCCCTCTTCCACGAGAGAAAAGGCAACATATTTGAAGGTAGTAGTCAGGTCACCCCAAGTAAAAGCAAGCCATCTCTTCTGCTATCTTACTAATATTTCAATAATTGCTGAATGCATTATCCACAATGGCGATGAGGTCATTGGTCCGCTGGTTGGTTAGGTTCTTATTTCAGCTGATGAGCCAGATGCAGTCCCACTGGATTAATGATAGAAAGATGCTTTTGAAATGAAGCCATAAAACAACAAAAACATTTTCAAATAGCATTTTAATAGTAAAACAAATTTGTGTCTAAATGTGGTGTTTGCAAGCATGATACCATGATTGGAATTTACCAGGGGACATTTATCAGGGTTTTTTAACACTTAAAAATCAGAAGCATCTAGAAGTTAAACTGACTGGTGAAAAATTAAAAGTAAATGTGCACTATGGAAAGTTTCAGCCCGTATGATAAGCAATTAGAATAAATAAGGTATTCATAAAATAGCCAGTAAGTATTAAAATACTGATTTTTTTCAATAACCAGAGACATGCAAACTTAGAAAACATTCTTCTACCTCTTTTTCTTTTAATTGTATGTATAGGACTGTGCTGTGTGCACGTGAAGGCAGGTGCCCACAGAGGCCAGAGGTGTCGGATCCCGTGAAGTGGAGTTACAGAGAACTGGGAACTGCCTGACTTGGGTCTGGGAACCTGACTTTTGCTCTTAACTGATGAGCCATCACTCCGGCCCCTCCCCTGTTTCCTACCTCTTATGTTGGAAAAAAAAATTGGGAACTTGTATTGAACCCAGCCTCCATGAAGTCTGGGAAATAGAGCCCTAGTGGGATGATAGACTACTCCCCGAGGGGAATGTGCCAGAGCAGCAGAGTGACAAAACACTCTGACCCAGAATCGCTCTGTGACCATCCACTCTCAGCAAACTAGCAGGCATGTTGGCCAAAGGCTGAGATACAAGTCTTATGGTTGACATGAAGGTTGAGAGTGTCATATGAAAAGCCCCACAGGGAATGGAAAATAAAGTTCTTGATGGTTTCTGAACATGCTCCTGAGAGGCAATATGAAAAGAGGTCTAGGTTAGGGTTGGAGAAACTTGCACACGCATGTCCTACTTTATCACTACAAATAGGCACAGAGATAAGTCTGGAAGGGTCTGATCATGGCATTTCAGATGCTTTCTGTCTTGTTCTTCTTGTGTGTTAGTATTTTATAATTCTTTTAAGGATAAGCTATGATTGACAGTGCTAAACATCTATCATGTCAGTCAAACAACAAAGATTTAAAAACCCAATGCTCTGGTTATGAAACAAATGGAAACACATGAACTATGAACCAATAGCTGAGGAGCCCCCAACTGGATCAGGCCCTCTGGATAAGTGAGACAGTTGATTAGCTTGATCTGTTTGGGAGGCATCCAGGCAGTGGGACTGGGCCCTGTCCTCAGTGCATGAGCTGGCTATTTGGAACCTGGGGTTTATACAGGGACACTTGGCTCAGCCTGGGAGGAGGGGACTGGACCTGCCTAGACTGAATCTGCCAGGTTGAACTCAATCCCCAGGGGAGTCTTTGCCCTGGAGGAGATGGGAATGGGGGGTAGGGTGGGGGGAAGGGGGGCGGGAGGGGGGAGAACAAGGGAATCCGTGGCTGATATGTAAAATTAAATTAAATTATAAAATAAAAAAGGACACATCCCTGCATATTTTGTGACTATGTAATTTAGAAGGAATGTTTTTGGAAGTCAAAATAGCTTTACCAACAACAACTTTCTGATTCAGTAGCACTGCTCTCTCATGATTTTAGAGAATAGAGTTGCTCTGGGCAGGCATCAGGCCAGGATTGTGCACTTGTGTGAGAAAATGAACACATTGTGACAGAGGTAAGCAAGAGAAGACGTAGTCACTCTGTGGACCCTTATGCCAGCATAAGTTTGCAATTGCAACTTTAATTCAGTGCCACAGAAGCTCCTGTTCGGTGTCCAGCATTGTTTCCAAATCATGGATGTCCCACTGCACCAACGGAATGTCCTGTTTGGTGTCTAGCACCGTTTCCAAATCACGGGAGTCCCACTACACCAAGACTGCATGTTTATACACAGGAGTCCAAGTGAAAGGACCTATCAAAGGGACTAGATTTGCTGGGATGGTGGATGAGGGCTTTCAATAACTTAGTGTCATAGCGATTTCATGTGGCTTTGCAAAAACTAAAACAAGGAGAATGAATGGGTTTAAGCTGTTGGTGCTGACTCTGAATGGATCCTGTCATTCATTGCTCTGGCTCTCATTTCTGACGATTCCTAGGTCCCTCATGTGACAAACGGTGTTGATGTTTGCATGGAGCAATGTCCCTGTGACACTTCAAATAACTGGGTAGCAAGTGATGAAGTTAGTCATCACTGAGCCCCTGAACACCCCCTTTCCTTCAAGTACACAGATAGACAATGTCTTCATCTCCTTGCGTAGCTTGTCTGTGTCACTGAAAAGTCAGACCCCAGGCCTTGACCTCCACAGTGTGACCTGTTACTTTAGCAAGTAGCTGTCTGGCCAGTCTGGCTTCAGGTTTCTTAAGCATCCAGTTGTCTTAACTATACCACGGCTGTTGGCTTTCTCACTTCCCCTCACAGCACATCCATCCTCATCCTTTCCCCCTCTTTTCAAAGTCAGCCTGGGTGAGATTTGCCAAAGATACCCTGTTGCGTCAGGGACCATCAAGGACAGTGGCCCTGCATCTTTGAGTGAAAGTCCTAGCAAGATTTTCCTTCTGTGCCTTCACTGACAATTTAGATTTCACAGCTGAAATAAGACCAACCCAGTGGGTTACTGGAGAGACTGATTGAAAGTTGCACTGTCCTTTAGAATGCCAACATGCACAAAGTCTTTCTGCACCTCAGTTCCAAATCTCCACAATGGCTCCTTACTAACCCAATAGGCTGGCCAGAGTTACCTGACACCCACAGCTGCCTCAGGACAAAGAGGTGCTGCTATCTATGCCTCGGATCACACTTGTGTGGCTCTAATGGGTGGCTCCTCACCATCACCCTGCTCAGAGTCATGGAGACCCTCCCTTTCTGTCTCCAGGAATCAGTGGCCTTCCAGGCCCTCACTTCAGGCTCCCTCTGGGCTTCCATCCCACTCCTCATAGTCACCTGTTGAACACTTGGAGCATCTCCCATCTAAGGCTCCCCTGTGACCTCCTGAGTTACCACCACCTGCTCCACAGATCCTGCAGCTGAGTTCACTGCCAGGAAGGACATGGATCAGGATTTCTGTTGAAGCCTGAGCAGAGAGAGAGGCCCCAGGCCATGTAGGACTTTATCCAGAAGCCAAAGGACAGCATGTAGCATGTCAGCATTGAGTGGCTGAGTGGCACCACAATTGATACCTGGAGGAGGTCAGCAAGACAATAGCAGACTGCATGATGGAGTCATCTTGGGCACCGCCTGTAGAGACTAGGAGAAGAATGGATTCATTCCCAAGACCTTAGGATGCTGAAGCAAGAGGCCAAAGTCCAGAGAAAGCCTGCTGAGGAAGTCTTGGGGTGTGAGGTATGCAAAGAATGTCACCTAATTCTTATGTGTCTATGTCCATTTTCCTAGGACACAAATGAATGACATCTGCTTCAGAATTAAAGCTTTCATGAGGTTCCCTGTTTAATTGTCCTCCCCAGTGGCTGGTTCTATGCTGAGGCAAGACACCAGAGCTAAGGGGACTCAGGGCGGGGAAGGGGATGGTACAAGGGCAATAGACATCTCTTATTAGGCATCCTATCCTGCGGTCAGCCTGTGCCGTGTGATGCCCACCTCGGTGATGGGCAGGTGCATAGGAGTGTGGATCAGGGATGGATGGCAAGAGATCAAACTCTAGCTGGGACAGTGACAGAGGGGACACATATCACAAAGAAAATGTCTGACTCATGCTATACCTCCTACAATGCCTGTTGTTCAAGTGAATGATCAACCGAGGATTAACTCTTCTTAGTTCCCGTCACAAGCTAGGCTGCTCTGGTCCCTGTTCCTTGTTTGGATTCAAAGGAAAAAAAAAACAATATTTTCAAAAGTATGCAGCCAATGCTACAAGAATCATGGCCTGACAGGACAGTAGCTGTAGGAGTCATGGCTTTGAACATCCCTAATTCAAAACCTTAAAAAAACAAACAAACAAACAAACAAACAAAAAAACCCAACATGGGAAATGCTTGAACACAGACATGAATGCTGTGAATAGAAACCGCCATAACTGCCCTAGTGAGATGGGTCAGAGCTAAGAGGCAGCTTAGCTGAAATAGTTTCAGATAAAGTGAAATATAAATGGATTGTGTTTTACCTGGTCCCATCCCTAAGCTCTCTTACTATTTATGTGCAATCAAACAAGACAAAACTAAAACCTCTGAAACCCAAACACTCCGGTCCTAAGCAGCTCAGATAAGGGCCCTCCAACCTGTGTTGTCTGTCATATTGTGATATTTTCAATTCTGCAAACTCTTATTCCCATGACCTTTCTGTGGCGTGAAGTGTAATTTCCAAGCAAGATAAGATGGGTGTTCTGCCTACCGAGTGGAACTCTGTCAAGGCATGGGGGTTTTAAGGTGATGGAATTTCCATGGCATTTAGAGCCAGAACACCGGGAAGGACAGCATAACTTCCTGAATAGGACTCCGGGTGGGCACCGAGCTCCAGTGTCCAGCGGTTTCCCACAGTGCCAACAGGATGTGCAGTGCAGCGGAGCTTACGAACTTTCTGCCCGGTGGGGCTGTGAAGGGAAGCTGAGCTGCAGCTAATCTGTCCTTAATCAAATTCCTTGTAGATGAGAATGGGCGGCAAGGTTAGCTGGGCCATGAGCTCAACATTGGAAAGGAAATTAATGACTGTACTTGATTGGGGTGCTGGCCGAGAAAGGCTACTAATGAGGCTACTGCTCTGAGACCTCAAGGGCCATGACATTGGGAGGGGCACACATCAAGTGCCAAGGGAAAACAGAGCATTTGCTAACTACTGGCCCATGGATTCACGCTGCAAAGAGCAGCAGGTGGCTGCCAGGGCTGCTGAAGATACATGGACAAAATGTCAGCTTCCCCACCCTGCGGAGTCCTGCCGTATTCAGAACAATAGCGAATGGTTGTGGGCATTCTGGACAGTATTCTGCTTATTGTGCAAAAATGATGTCTGAGGACAGTGTCACCCATGGTCAGCCTGTGCCCCACAG